AGAAAAATACAAAGAATTCCCGATCAAAAAAAAAAAAAAAAAAAAACCTAATAAATGTATGTTTTAGCATTAACTGCTAGTTTTGACAACATTATAATGTTTTATGTGCTCAAAAAGACATAAAACAAGGCAAATAAATCTTTTGAAATAAAAAAAATTCCCTACTAAAGCGGAAATCTTCAAGTTGCAGGCGGGCCAGCATAACAATAAACTTCAGTTTATGAAAATTCATAAACTTAAAAGGTTATATTTGATATAACATGCATTTTTCAGGCGGGCCACATTTTTGTTATAGAAATATTTAGTTTTTTAAACTAAAACCTAAAAAATTCTTTAAATGTAAGCAAAACTAGCAGGAATCATTAAAATTTGAGGCGGGTCAAGTTTTTGTTGTAGAAATATAAGCAAATTTGTCTTAAATACTAGAAAACTTTTGAAATAAAAACGAAAACTCCAGGAATAACAAAAATTTCAGGCGGGCCATATTCTAGTTCTAGAAATATAAACTTGTTATAAATCCTAGAAATATTTTGAAATAAAAGCGAAAGCTTTAGGAATCTTTGAAATTTCAGGCGGGCCAAGTTCTTATACCAGAAATATTATAAAATTTGTCTTTAAAATCAAACAATTTTTGTTAAAAAAAGTAAAACTTGCAGAAATCGCTTTAATTTTAGGCGGGCCATATTATAGTTTAGAAAATAAAAACAAATTTTCCATAAATCGCTCAAATTTGAGGCGGGCTATGTTTTTTATACCAGAAATATAATGGGTTTTGTCTTAAAATCAAAAAATTTTTTGATACAGGAACAAAAACTCTAGGAATCCTTAAAATTTCAGGAGGGCCAAGGTATTCCTGAGCAAATATGAAGAATTATAACTTAAAATCAAGAAAATATGAAAAAAATCCTTAGATTTTTAACAGAAATCCTAAACTTTTCAGGCGGGCCAACACTTTTTTCTAGGAAAATTCAAAAAATTCCTAGATTTTTAAAAGATTTCCTAAAGTTTTCTTCCGGGCCATCTAAACGTTTATTAAAAACTTAGAAATTCAGGCGGGCCAAGCTTTTTATCGGCAAATAAGAAGCATTATAACTAAAGACCTAGAAAATTCTAAGACTCCATAGATTTTTAACAGAAATCCTAAAATTTCAGAATTTTTATTTAAAATCTATAACAGGAATCCAAAAAATTTCAGGCGGGCCATCTATTTTCTTAGCAAATATTAAGAATTTTAATAAAAAAACTAGAAAATTCAAAAGTTGCATTTATTTGCAAGGAAATTCCGAAAATTTTCAGGCGGGCCAACTTTTTTTCTCGGATTTATTAAGCATTTTTACTTTTGCAAGGTATTTCACAAATTTTTCAGGCGGGCCAACCTTTTTTCGCTGGATATATTGAGTATTTTTACTTAAAATCTTAACAAATCGAAAATTTCATAGATTTTTTATGTAAATCCTAAACATTTCAGGCGGCCATCTATTTTCTTAGTAAATATTAAGAATTGATATAAAAAACCTAAAAAATCTAAAACCTGCATCTATTTGTTAGGAAATTCCGAAATTTTTCAGGCGGGCCAACCTTTTCTTCTCATATATATTGAGTATTTTTACTTCACAGCTAGAAAATTCAAAAATTTCATAGATTTTTAACAGAAATCCTAAAATTTTCAGGCGGGCCATTCATTTTCTCGGCACATTTGAAGAATTTTTATTTAAAACCCAGAAAATCCGAAAGCTGCAGACATTTCTAACAGAATTCCTTAAGTTTTCAGGCGGGCCAACTTTTTTAAACAGTGGCCCGCCTGAAATTTTCTTCAATTCCGCAATTTCTAAACTTTTCTTCAGGAATTTTGGATTATTTTATACAAATTTTCAGTTTTCGCTACATTTTTTATTAAAATTTCCAATGGCCCGCCTCAAAATTTCATAATTTCAAAAGTTTCTCTTTAAATTAGTAATTTTTTTTTAAAGTTTTAACATGGCCCGCCTAAATTTTTCTAGATTTTGAAAGTTTTTAAATATTTTTTTATGAAAATGTAAAGAAAACTTAAAAATCTTTACATTTCTTAAATTTTTTGCCAATTTTGTTGAAATGTAAAACTGGCCCGCCTGAAATTTTCTTCAATTCCGCAATTTCTAAACTTCTGGAATTTTGAATAATTTTATAAAAATGTTCAGTTTTCGCTACATTTTTTATTAAAATTTCATATGGCCCGCCTTAAATTTTCTAGATTTTGAAAGTTTTTGTTTAAATTAGCCATTTTTTGAAAAGTTTTAACATGGCCCGCCTCAAATTTTTTAGATTTCGAAAGTTTTAAAATTTTTTTTATGAAAAAGTAAAGAAAACTTAATTTCTTAACAATTTCGACAATTTTATTGAAATTTAGAACTGGCCCGCCTGAAACTTTTAAGATTTCATTAAATTTTACACTTTTCTTTTGAAAAGTTTGATAAAAATTTAAAAATCACTTGTTTTTGCTACATTTTTTATAAAAATTCATATGGCCCGCCTCAAATTTTCTTAATTTCGAAAGATTATGTTTTTTTACATATTATTTGGAAAATTTTTACTTGGCCCGCCTCAAATTTTCTCGATTTCGAAAGTTTTCAAATATCTTTTTATGTTAAACTAAAAACAGTAGAAAATTCTTTATTTTCCTTGAAAATTTTTGTGATTTTCATTGAATGCTAAAGTGGCCCGTCTGAAATTTGTTGGATTTTAATAAATTTCTTTACTTTTTTGCTTGAAATTGTATTAAAACCTAAAAATTTTAACATTTTAAAGGGTTTTTATTACAGTTTGATATGGCCCGCCTGAAATTTTTGACATTTTTATAAATTTCTTATATTTCTCGCTGAAAACGTATAGATATTTAATCAAACTATCGCTTGAAGCTATTTTGGTACAATTTTCCTTATGGCCCGCCTCAGATTTACTAGAATTTAAAAATTTCAAGTATTTTTATTGTTTTTTTTATAAATTTTCACTACGGCCCGCCTCAGATTTGCTACAATTTGCAAGTTTTCAAGAATTTTTATCGAAAAATATTCAAAATATTTAGAGGTCCGCCTGAAATTTTTGACATTTTTATAAATTTCTTCTAATTTTAGCTGAAAACGTAAAGATTTTAAGACATAATAACATTTCAAGCCATTGTTGCAATTTACATTTATTATGTATTTTTATACTTTCTTATCAATTTTTAATATGGCCCGCCTCAGATTTGCTATGAATCGAAAGTTTTGAAACATTTTTACGCAAAAATATTAAAAATATTTAGAGGCCCGTCTGAAAATTTTGACATTTGTAGAAATTTTTTTCTAATTTTTCTGATGAAACTACATAGATTTTTAGACAAACTAACACTTGAAGCCATTTTTTGTACAATATTCTTTATGGCCCGCCTCAGATTTGCTAGAATTTGAATTTTTTAAGTGTTTTTTATTAATTGTCAATATGGCCCGCCTTAGATGTTGTTTAATTTAAAAGTTTTTAAGCATTTTTGTATAATTTTCATTATGGCCCGCCTGAAGGTTGCTTTTATATGAATCTTTTAATTATATTTTATAAATTTTAATTACTTTTTAATATGGCCCGCCTCAGATTTTCTAAAATTTGAAAGTTTTATACAATAATTACAATTATTCCATTGGAAAACATGATGGCCCGCCTTAAAGTTGTTGTAATTGAATAGTTCCATGTATTTTCATTGTTTCTTATGAATTTTTTATATGGCCCGCCTCAGATTTTTTGTAATTTGCAAGTTTTAAAGAATTTTTATAAAATTTGTAATGAATTACATTAAGACCCGCCTGGCGGTTGCATTATATTAAGATTTTTATTGTTTCTTATGCAGTTACAATATGGCCCGCCTCAGATTTTCTATAATTGGGAAGTTTTCACGAATTTTTATAAAATTTTTAATGAATTACATTAAGGCACGCCTGAGAATTGCTTTAATTTAAAACTTTTAGATATTTTGTATTTATTTTTATTAATATTGAATCTGGCCCGCCTCAAACTTTCTATAATTTTAATGTTTTGTAGAATTTTTATAAAATTTTTAATGAATTACCCTAAGGCCCGCCTCAGAGTTGCTTTAATTTCAAACTTTTAGTTGTTTTTTATAAATTTTTATTAATATTTAATCTGGCCCGCCTCAGATTTTCTATAATTTAAAAGTTTTAAAGAATTTTTATAAAATTTCTAATGAATTACCTTAAGGCCCGCCTCACATTTGCTTTATAATTAGATTTTTAGAAATTTTTATTGTTTCTTATGCAGTTTCAATATGGCCCGCCTCAGATTTTTAGTAATTTGAAAGTTTTGTTTAAATGTTATTGATTTTTATATAAAATTTTCTTAAAAAAAGTTTTATTTTTGAAAAAATTTTAAAGTTTTTTTTTAAGAAACAATTTGCAATTAAAAAGTTTATTTTTCATGTTCGATTTATATTTGTATAGAAATTTGTATAGCTCACAGCAGGATATTTTTACGCTAGTTGAACAAGACATTTTTTTGTGACAATAAAAAAAGGGGGTCAGCGAGGAAAAACACCCTATTTTTAAGGGGTGCATGTTTAATGAGCAAAAAAGGAAGATATTTTTAGGTAAAAATTAAGAAATGTTTACTACAGCACTTGAAATAGCAATAAAATTTGTTGTTTGACAAAAAACTTTAAGAAAAGCAGAAAAAAAATCAAAGGTTAAAAAAATCTAGAGGAATTGAAAGAAAGATTAGAACGTGCGAAAGCAGTAGTGAGGCCTAAAAAACCCAACGATTCCCAAAGAATATAGAAAATTAGGGTTTTTTTGTATGGTTGTGTTTTTAAAGGCGTGTTAAATACCAGCAATTGTGGGTTTAATTGGAACTCATTAAAAACATAAAGTTATAGAAAACTACTTTTTTTGTTTTAAATAATTACAAACTACTTAAAGGTGAAAAACTAAAAAACTAAAAGAAAATTAGGAAATTAATTAAAAAAAAAAAACGGTAAATACCTTGAGGTGCCAGCACCTTCCATTTGCTGTCGATCTAAAGGTGGATCGAAAATTTGTTCACGATCCTCTTTTGACAATTCCAATTCGGCAAATTGATCCAATTCTGAAGCCATTTTTATTTGCTTTTTTAAATAAGTTTTCTTGTTTTTTGGTGAGAAATTTAGTTAAATTTAGGGATTTTTTGGAAATTTTGGAATGTTTTGCTTGATTTTTTTAAAGATTTGGTTTTTTAAGAAATTTTCGAAAAATTTTTTTCCAGATTTTTTTTTTTTTGAATTTACAGTCAATTTGCCAAAAACCTATAATGAAATAAAAAAAGAATAGAAAAATAAATTAAACATAAAATTGCAAAATTTAACAAAAAAAAAAATTATAAAAAATATAGTTTTTTATAAAAAATTTTAAAGGGAAAGTAGGGTGAGGAGGAGGAGGAAACAACTACAATCTAATTCAATCTGCAACTTAAATTTAATTCCTTTTTTATCCTCAACCTAACTGTCATTCTTAAACTGTCATTTATTGCTTCTCTTCCTCTCTCTGTCTGTCTGTCTGTCTGTCTTTCTCTTTTTCATAACATCTATGTTTTTTTGCCTTTTTTCCAAGTTTTTCCTCTTCCTTTTTTTAAAAGTTTTACTTTTGTTTTTGTTTCTTTTTTCTTTGCTTCTCTCTTTTCTTTTAATTTGTTTTTCTTTTGCTCTCCCCAGTTTGACATGTAACATGTGACATTTGTTAATGTTTTAGGTCATCCAAATTTAAATCAATAAATTGATTTTTACTCAGTCACACAACAACAACAACAGAAAACAGTTAAGAACACAAAAAACTTGTTACAAATTATGTCAAAATTATGTGGTTGAAGTGTCATGTCATTTGTTCATTCCATTACTTAGCCCTCTCTCTCTCTCTTGAGGCTTAATAAGTGCCAACTATTGAAAATGGTTAATGAGGTAATAATAGTTATTGTGACATTTAAACTTGTAACAGTGGAACCCAAATAAAAGGAACTTTTGTTAAGGACAAGTGTTATGACAATTATCACAGGTAAAAACTTTAACAACTACAATTATCACTCATATATCTAATAATTTTCAAAATTACAACTTGACCTTTAATACTCTCCACATAAAGAGCTTAAGATCTGATCAAATATCGCCCTCGTTTTCTAAATTTTCTTGTCAAATATATGTTTTGGTTTAAAGTCCAACTGACAGCATCAATTATCACAAGTTTGTGAAAGATTGTCATTCTTTAAGATCGCACAACTTTGACAGAATCAAATAAAACTTTTAACGATCAATGATCACCAATTATCTCTCAATATCGCAAGTTTGAAGAACTTTGAAATAAAGAACAACTATCACAAGTTAGTATTACTTAGTCTCTCGGAAACTAGTGATCTTTCAGTCACTGATCTTTGCTGATTACTTTAAAATTATTATTATTTCCAGATCCTATTTGTTAATTAAACTTTTTGTTATAATTGCTCTTTAAAATAACTAGTATTTAAGATATTCTAAAGAGATTTGTACAATAAAGCATTCATAACGATCGTTAAGATCATAGCTATAAGCTAAATCTAAAGACAAGATCATTAACACTCCTCTGTGATCATTAGATTCTTTCACCTAGTTATAGGAGCTGTTCAAACAAAGAGATACAAAGAAGTGACCAATAAAGCATTCATAACGATCGTTAAGATCATAGCTAGAAGACAAGATCATTAACATTAGAGTCTTTCATTTAACCAAAGAAGCTGTTCAAACACTGAGATACAAAAAACTCGTAGATCTTTTGAAAAAATTCGATCAGTTGCTAAGTTCTGTGATCTTGCGTTTCAAAAGTTAAAAAGTACTCTATTAAATTCTTATTAATAACATAGGAATGATCACGTTTTGAAACTATGGCCATTTCAGTGACGATCTTTACAATTTTAAAAAGATTGAAAGATTTTCAAAGATCATAGAACAATTGCTGAACTCACAAGATCAGCTTGCCAAGAATCTGTTCAAATACTGAGATAGGAAACAGTTGTAGAGGTGTGATCAGTTGTTATGTTCTAAGGTCTTGCATTTCAGACATGTTGAAGAGATTTATTAAGATAACATAAGAAACTATAATAATTTCAGTGAGGATCAGTCGAATTTTAGACTTTGAAAGATCTCAAAACAACATAGATCTTTGAAAAGAAAGATACTATATTCTGTGATCTTGTTAAATCATTATTATAAAAATATTTCTACAAAACAAAAGATTCCAAAACATTTTAAAGATCAATGTTATAAAGATCTTTAAATTTGAGTTCGATCGAGTAATTAGTATTACTAGAAGTACGATCAGTTGCAATATTCTGTGATCATTTGCTTTTCAAACACAACGATCCTTCGTAGATCTTTAGCAAAGATGAGATCAATTGTTATGGTCTGCGATCTTGTGATTCAGACATGTTTAAAAACTCTTATTAACAACATAGAAAATGTGCAAAGTTTTGAAACTATGATCACTTTAATGCTGAACTTGTGAGTTCAATATGAAAAGATTTTGTTCTAAAAAAGTTTCGAAAACGTTTATGAAGATCGCAAAATTAGAAGTTAAAAACAATTTTGTTGTTTCTGTGATCATCAGTAATTAAGACGCAGTCAAAAGTTATGCGATCGAGTTACTAGTATTAAAGATCTTTTGAAAATCTATAAATAAGATCATTTGCAATGATCGGTAAGCATTTACTTTTCGACATTTTGAAGATCTTTGTTTAAGAATGATTCGAAAACGTTTGTGATTATCATTGATCTTGACACAAATTTGCCGCTATGATCAGTTTGATCTATTCGGTGATCATTAGACATTCGTTTTTAGAAGTTAAGATAGTAAATCTTTTGAAAATCTAGAGTTAAGATTAGTTGCAATATTCTGTGATAATTGATTCCCAAAAATACTTGTGAATGTTGGCAAAATTTCTTGTCAAGATCTTATGTTGATCGTATGATGATCGTTTCTCTGATCATTAGAACTGTTCAACAAGTCAAACTGTTATTGAACAAGTCTCTAGATCGTTAAAATTAATCGCTAAGAGAGTAGGTTTAGAAGATCACATGATCTTGTAGATGAATTTTATGGAATGATCGTAATTGTTCTTGTATTTTAATCAGGAATGAATGAAAAATGATCGATGATATCATAGATATTGTTTCAATTTAATCTTAAGATCTTTAGACTCTAGATCGGTAAATTCAAGCATCAAGAGAAAACGTTCTTCTTTGGCCTTAAACATGACATTAGTTTAATAAAGAATTATCACTGATCTAGCGATCTTATGTTTTTATAAATATTTTAAGAAACATCTTAAAAGAAAGGCCTCAGGGCTTAGGTGTTACTAAGGAGTTAGGGTAGTAAATATAGAGAAAGATTTAAAAGGTTTTGAATGGAATGACTTTAGAACAAAGTGATCTTGAAAGTTAGCTTAATTATGAAAGCTTCAGCATGAAGTTTAGGCTGCAAATTACTATTAGAATGTATTTTATAGATAATGAAATGTCCAACTGACTAAGTGATCGTGGTTTTAGGAGATTTGCAAGGTTTTGGAGGGAATGAATTTAGAACAATGTAATCTTGGTAGTTAGTTTCAGGGAGAAGTTTATGATACAATTTACTAATAGAACCTTTGTAATATAGGTTTTAGGGGATTTGAAGGGGTTTGGGGGTGAGTTTTGAATAAAGGAAGAGATTAGCCGGGAATTTTGAGTCTTTTATGGTGGAATTTTTCATCATTTTAGAACAGAATTCTAAAGAAATGGTTCAAAATCTTACGAGAGGTGGGGATGTTGGTAAAATTTGAAGGTTTTTAAATGCTGGTGGTCCTACGAGCCTTGAAATTCTCAAGCAAAAGACTGAAAACAGAGAGATTTTAAAGAAAAGTTCAATTAGGAATGCTTAAGCATTGTGCTCAACTTCAAATTCTTATGAGAAGTTGGGATGTTGCTCAATATGAAGCATTTTAATGCTGATGGTCCTACGAGCCGGGAAATTCTTTTGCAAAATGCTCAAAACAGAGAGATATAAAAGAGAAGTTTTATTGGGAATGATTTGAAGATGGATTAAACTTTAAAATCCTATAAGAAGTAGGCGTGTTGCTAAATGTGAAGTTTTCTAAAGCTGATGGTCCTACGAGCCACGAAATTCTTTAGAAAAAGGGAGAGAACAGAGAGATGTAAAGGATAAGTTTAATTTGGAATGATTTGGTGATTGGTTAAACTTCAAAATCCTATGAGAAGTAGGGGTGTTACTGAATTTCTTTAGCAAAAGGCTTAAAACTGAGGGATTTAAAAGAGAAGCTTAATAAGGAATGATTTGGGGATGAGCTGAACTTCAAACCCCTGTGAGAAGTAGGGGTGTTGGTAAAATTTGAAAGTTCTTAAAGAGGATGGTCCTGCGAGCCCGAAAATTCTTTAGAAAAGGAGAGAGAACAGCGATATGTAAAAGAGAAGTTTACTTGGGAATGATTTGGGGATGGAATAAACTTGAAAATCCTATGAGAAGAAGAGGTGTTACTAAATGTGAAGGTTTTTAAAGCTGATGGTCCTTCGAGCCGGAAAATTCTTTAGCAAACGCTCAAAACAAAGAGATTTTAAAGAGATGATTAATTAGGAATGATTTGGGGATGGATTAAACATCAAAATTCTATGAGAAGTAGGGGTGTTGGTAAAATATGAAAGTTCTTAAAGGTGATAGTCCTACGAGCCGGGAATTTCTTTAGAAAGAGAGAGAGAGAACAGAGAGATGTAAAAGAGAAGTTTAATTAGGAATGATTTGGGGATGGACATAACTTCAAAATCTTATGAGATGTGAGGTGTTACTGAACTTAAAGGTTTTCTAAGCTATTGGTCCTACGAGCCGGAAAATTCGTTGGCAAAAGGCTCAAAACAAAGAGATTTTGATTGGGAATGGTTTGGCGTAGGGTTAAACTTTAAAATCATATAAGAAGTAGGGGTGTCACTGAATTTGAGGGTTTTCGATAATGATGGTCCTACGAGCTTGGAATTTTGATGGAAAACTTTTTAGATTTTGCTGGTTCTTTCCAACTATTTTTTTTGGAATTTGTAATAAGACTCTACTAGGTGTAGGGTATCAGGAAATAAACCTTTTTTTTCGTTAGAATAAACCTTGATATTTCATTTTTTTTCTACACAAAGTAGAGAAGAGTTCTCTACTTCTAATGAAAAAAAAAACTAAAACATTTACTCACACTCAAACAAATTGAAAAAAAAAAAACAAGAATGAAAATGGAAACAAAAGAAATACGTAAAAAAACTATAACAAGAAGAATATAATAATAAAAAAATAATAAAACTAATTTAGAAAAAAAAAAACTGAAGAAACAGATTTGTTGGCAAGTGAGAAAAAAAAATTTAGGTTTTTTTTCGGGTTTGTTCCAACACATACACTCAAACACACACACTCCCAAATAACAACAAAAAGTACAAACAATAAAAAATGTAAGCAAAAGGGAAGGTTGAAAAAAAATAGAATAGAATCCGTAAGCATAAAAAAAGAGGAGAAAAGAAAGAAAAAAAACACTGTGTATTAGAAAATACAAACATAAAACATAAATTGTATAATGAATGACAAACCAAGAAGACGAAGGAAAGAAAGACGAAAGACTAAAAAAAACTAATTTTAAGAGCAAATATTTGTATTAATTTAATAAATGGAGAGGAAAAAAAATACGAAACGGGAGAGTGCCTATTGGAACCTAGGGAGAGTTTAACAGAAATTATGATTTAGGAAACCACTAGAAAAAAAAAAACAACATTAGGTATTAAATTTTACAACAACTATTTAAATGTATACTAAAAGTCAATAATCTCATAAAAATATGTTTTTTTTTTTCACAAAAAAAAAGATGAAATCGTTTTTAGGCCGGTAAACTAGAGTAAAATTAGGCCCCCTCTTCTTTAGGGGTAAATGACTTAGAGATAATTCAAAGATTTTGTTTAATTGTTGTAGGAGATAAAGTCCAAAACATACACATTTAAGTTAAAAAAAATGGCGGATTTATTATCAAAATTTTGTTAAAAGTATAGAAAAATTAAGAAATTTTAATATTTTTTAAGTAAATTTATTAAAAGTAATAAATTTTAGCTTCAAAAGTACATTTTGGAAAAAAGTACAAAAAAAGTACTTTTAGTACTTTTTATAAAAATCAGTTTTCTGATACAAATTAAACGAAATAGTAATCAAAAATTTATATTTAAGCGTTAAAAGTGCTTTTTTCTAAAAAGTACCAAAAAAGTACTTTTTCATAGGTACCCAAAAAAGTACTTTTTGCACAAAAACACTTTTCTAACAAAAATTAAACAAAATGGTAGGCAAAATGTTTATATAAGGCTTAAAAGTACTTTTTGCAAAAAAGTACCAAAAAAGTACTTTTTTCAAAATGTACTCAAAAAAGTAGTTTTTGAACAAAAACATTTTTCTAGCACAAATTAAATAAAATAGTAACCAAAAATGTATATTTTAGCCTTAAAAGTATATTTTTTCAATAAGTATAAAAAAAGTACTTTTTTCAAAAAGTACCCAAAAAAGGGATTTTTTACACAAAAATACTTTTCTAACACAAATTAAACAAAATGGTGGGCAAAAATGTTTATATAAGACTTAAAAGTACTTTTTGGAAGAAAGTACCAAAATAGTACTTTTTCAAAAAGTACCCAAAAAAATACTTTTCCAACACAAATTAAACAAAATAGTTAGCAAAAATGTATATTTAAGGCTTAAAAGTACTTTTAGGAAAAAAGTACTAAAAAAGTACTTTCTAAAAATATTAGTATTTTTACTCATATCATATGTTCTATCTGTATTTTTCCTTAGAAAATAATGAAAAATTTAAATCAAAAAGTAACTAAAAAAGTACTTCTCAGAAAAGGTATCAGAAAAAGTACTTTTTTTCAAATTCTAAATTTTACCAATTTCTTGAGAAAATTTCGTGGTATGTTGAAAAATTAAATTTTATACGAAATTTAAATCAAAAAGTTCTATTTAGAAAAGGTACCAGAAAAAGTACCTTTTTAAAAAAGAGTAACAAAAAAAGTACTTTTTATGAAAATCTCAAATTTTACTTATTATTAAAGAAAATATAGTATTTTTGTTTATAAAATGCTAAAAAAATATTACTTTTTTCAAAAGGTACATAAGAGAAAAGTACTTTTTCATAAATAATTTAAATTTGACTTCATTTTTAAGAAAATTTTGTATATTTGCTTATGAAATGTAGAGAAATTGAAATTTAAACCAAAATGTACTAAATGTACTAAAAAGTACTTTTTGGAAAACGTACCTGAAAAAGTATATTTTATGAAAATTTTAAATTTCACTTATTTTTAAAGAAAATTTTGTATTTATGCTTATAAAATGAGGAGAAATTGAAATTTAAACCAAAAAGTACTTTTTTGAAAAGGTATTAAAAAAGTACCTTTTTAAAAATGTACTACAAACGGTACTTTGTATGAAAATATTAAATTTTACTTATTTTTAAAGAAAATTTTATAGTTTTGTTTATAAAAAGAGGAGATATTGAAATTTTAAGCAAAAAGTACTTTTTTGAAAAGTTACCTAAAAAAGTACTTTTTTTAGGTAACTTTTCAAAAGAAAATTTTAAATTTTATTTATTTTTTTAAGCAAAATTTTTAAGTACATTTTATAAAAAATCGATATGTAATGACAAAACGATGAAAAAATTAAAAAAAAAAATCAGAAAGAAACGTTTAAAAAAAGTAGTAAAAATGTACTTTTTACTAGAATAAGTCAATAATTTAATAAAAAGAGAACCTTTTTAAAAAGGCAGTAGAAAAAGTACTTAATACAAAATAAGTTTTACAAGAAATATAAGTGTTTTTGTATAAAAATTAAAAATTTAGTAAATGTACTTTTTTGAAAAAAGTAGTAGAAAAAGTACTTTTTTCTAAAATAGAATTTTGTGAATACTTTTTGAGGAAAAATAGTATTTTAGTTTATAAAATTAATAAAAATAAGGGATTTAAGTCAAAAATTACTTTTTTGAAAAAGAGTACTTTTTGAAAAATTGTACTTTTTACAAAAAATCTAATTTAAATTGAGAAAACCAATATTTAACATAATTTATAAGAATTATTTAAGATTTATGGTACAAAATGTTAACAAATTTAAGTTAATTCGAAAAAGTACTTTCTTAAATTAGTAGTAGAAAAAGTACTTTATACAAAAATCATTTTTTTAACATAATTTATAAAAATATATTGTATTTTTGGTTAAAAATGATAAGAAAGAGAAATTTTTGGATAAAAAGTACTTTTTTAAATAGTACTTTTTTATTAAAAAGTACCTTAAAAAGCAACTTTTTCCTACAAAAGTTTTTTTTTTCCAAAATAAAAATTTTTTTGAGTGAAACTTTTTAATTTAACAATTTTTACGTTAAAAAGTACTTTTTTGAAAAAGTACCAAAAAAAGTACTTTTTGGAAAAACTTGTTTTTGGAGGATTTAAAGTAAAATTTCGGCAAAAATTGTTTAAGATTTCATTGGAAAAGTTAAAATTTGAAATTTTTTAAAAAGTATTTTTAACAAAAAATCCCTTAATTTTATTTTAAAACAAAAAAGTACTGTTTTGAAAAAGGTACTTTTCTACATAAAAACTTATTTTTATAGGCAAACTTTTAAATTAAAGACTTTTTAGGATAAAAAGTTGTTTTTAAAAAATATTTTGAACTAAAAAGTACTTTTTTGAAAAACGTTTCAAAAAAGTACTTTTTGGGAAAAACTAGATTTTAAGGGATTTAAAGTGAAATTTCTGCAAAAATTTGTTAAGATTTCTTTAAAAAAGTTAAAATTTTAATTTTTAAAAGTATTTTTTTAACAAAAAATCCCTTAATTTCGTTTTAAAACAAAAAAGTACTTTTTTACATAAAAACATATTTTTTAGGCAAACTTTTAAATTTAACACATTTTAGGATACAAACTAGTTTTTAAAAAAAATTTTGACATAAATAGTACTTTTTTGCAAAAAGTATCAAGAAAGTACTTTTTGGAAAAAAGGTACTTTTTTGAAAAAAAATTGTTTTTTAAGTATAACTCACAAATTTAATACATTTGGAACAAAAAAAGTACTTTTTTTTAAAAGTACCAAAAAAGTACTTTTTTGAAAAAGTACTAAATTTTTTTTTTTTGAAAAAAAAAAAATGTTTTTCTTGAAATTTAAGCCCAATAATAAGAGAAACTATGATAAAAAAGTCAAAATTTCATATGTTGAAAAAGTACTTTTTTAGAAAAATCCCTGATTTTTACAGTTTTAAACCAGAAAAAGCTGCTAGAGTGAAGCTTTTGTTAGATGTTATGATTTCTAGTGTAAAAAAAAAACTATTAACAGTTTTCACCATTTTAGTTTTTTGTTGTTTTGTTTCAAATTATCTAAGTGTTAGTAAAGCTTTTATACATTAGCAATTTATTTAGAAAAAAAAAACAATATTGTACCTACATTTGCTCTAGAATGAGTTTTTGTTTAATAATTTAAAGTTGTTGTTTTTGTTGTTGTTGGTGTGGCGATATTTAGTTGAGAGTTAAGTTTTTTTTCTAGTTTGAAGTTTTAGTTTTAAATTTTCTTTTATTTTAGGAAAATGTTTGAAATGTTGTTTTGAGGAAAAGGGATTTTTTTTTATAATTTTTTTTTATAAAAATGATTTTGCTTTTTAATAAAAATTTTAATTTTTTTCGCTTATGTTATAGTGTGTTTGTTTTTTTTTTTGCTTTTTTAAACAGATGATGTCAGCTTTTTTTTTTTGGTAATTTTTTAGGTTTTTAGCATTTTTTTGTAAAAAAAAATTATGGAATTTTTTTTAAAATAAAATAAATTTTCTTTTTTTAAATAAAACACTCACAAGTTTTAAACAAATTTTAAATATTTTTTTTAAATATTACTTTTACTTTTTTTTTATTAAAAAAAATTTAAACTTTTTAAGTTTTTTTTTTTTAAATTAAAGATTTGTTATTTGTTTTATAATTAAAAAATTTTTTTTAAATATTACTTTACTAATAATTCCCAGTTAGTTGACACAAATAACTTAAAAGGAGTGAACACACACGCGTATTGTGTTTTAAAGTAAAAGAACCGTACGAACAGGAACAAAATTTAACAAAATTTTAAGAAAACAGAAAAACAAACGATATAAAACGTAAAAAAAAACTTAAACAAAATTTTTTTTAAACTAAATTTGTTAAATTGATTTTGTTGTTTTCTTTTTTTGACAGAATTAAAAAAACAGAAACAGAATTTTTTTTGTTGTTTTGTAGCTAGCGGCGCATACGTTTCCACAGAAGGTGTAAAACAAAATTTTTTCTTTGGTTGCTCACGGTTAGGAACGTATTTGAACACTGAACACAATAAGAGAGTTACCAAAAGTTTCAAAGCCGTGCCATCGTTAAACAAACACACACTCGCACACACACACACACACACACCAACACTAAATACTTACACTTACAATAATGCTGCAAATACACATAGATATGCTCAAAAAAAACAGAAAAAAACTATATATGTTTAACATACAAAATGATAAATGTCAAAAAATCTACTCAAAAAACCCAACACACAGATACTCAAATACTTGCACAAACAGCCACATACCCCGAAATTTCACATACCCCCAAAAAAACAATGTTTAAATACTCTCAGTTAAACACACACACGCACACATGAACTCACTTTAACTCCTCAAACTTCCATTGAGAAAAAAAAACTCATTGCCAAAAATTTGAATCAGAAACTTTTTTGGGACTATTTTGTTTAATCCTGAGCTTTAAGGAAGAAAAAAAAACTCAATTTCAAAAACCAGGATTTCTTAAGATAGGAGGTATGCCTATGATTGATCATATATACCCCAAGAGATAGAGAGATAATGACTATGTTCCATTATTGACTTTAGAAGGGCCTACAAAATGCCTCTAGGATTGACTGCATAGATCCCAGGCCCCAGGGTCTTACTATAGAATATTCCAAGATTCGAAAGACTATCCATTATTGACTTTAGAAGGGCCTACAAAAGACCTCTAGGATTGTCTGCAAAGATCCCAGACCCCAGGGTCTAACTATAGAATATTCCATGATTCGAATGACTATGATCCATTATAGACTTTAGATGGGCCTACAAAATATCTCTAGGATTGACTGCATAGATCCCAGAAAGAGGTCTAACTATAGAATATTCCAAAATTCTAATGACTATGATTCATTATTGACTTTAGAAGGGCCTACAAAAGACCTTTAGGATTGACTGCATAGACTCCCCAGAAAGTTGTCTAACAATAGAAAGTTCTAAGATTATCCACAGAGATGTCTAGGATTGACTTCCTGAACCTCAAGAACGATTTTACAGAAATGGCAATAGTTCGAAATCGATTATTATTAACTAAAAAAAGTTCTAAAATTGTCCATATGAATGTATAGGATTGTCTTCTACGGAGATGGCAACAGTTTTACTATTGTCTTTAGACTGCCCTATTGCAGACTATAGAGACCTCAATAATTACAGAATAATGTTGTTCTGGAGTTAGAAGGGCCTACAAAAGACCTCTAGTATTGACTACATAGACCCCCCAGAAAGTTGTCTAACTATAGAATATTCTAATGACTATGATCCATTATTGACGTTAAAAGGGCCTTCAAAAGACCTCTAGGACTGACTACATAGACCCCACAGAAAGTTGTCTAACTATAGTAAGATCTAAGATTATCCACAGAGATGCTTAGGATTGACTTCTTGAACCTCAAGAACGATTTTACAGAAATGGCAACAGTTTAACTATTGTCTTTAGACTGACCTATGGCAGACTATAGAGACCTCAATAATTACTGCATAGACCCCAGTAAGGGGCCTAACTATAGAGTATACTGAGATTTTATTGACTATGATCCATTATTGACTTTAGAAGGGCCTACAAAAGACCTCTAGGATTAACTGAATAGACCCCAGAAATGGATTATTATTAACAAAAGAAAGTTCTAAGATTATCCACAGAGATGCTTAGGATTGACTTCTTGATCCTCAACACTTTTCCTATCGTCTTTAGACTGACCTACGGCAGACTATAGAGACCTTAATAATTAAAGACTAATGTTGTTCTGGAGTTAGAAGGGCCTACAAAAGACCTCTAGGATTGACTGCATAGATCCCAGAAAGAGGTCTAACTATAGAATATTCAAAGATCCTAATGACTATGATCTATAGTCTATAATCGACTATGGAAACCTCAATAATCACAGACAAATGTTGATCTAGAGTTAGTTCAACGACCAACAAGGTCTACAATATATACTCAGTTCTTCTATAGAAAGTTATTGAAGAGATGTCTACGAATCAATAGATCCTTTTTGAACTATAGAAAGGTCGAACATTAATCATAGAAACACCTAGGATTGACTACTTAGAACTCAAGGAAGAGCTTATTGAGCTAAGATCTAGACTTTCTTTTGTCTTTAAATAGTCCTATAACCGACTATGAAAACCTCAATAATCACAGACTAATGTTGTTCTAGAGTTAGTTCTGCGACCAAGAAAGGTATACAATAGATACTCAGTTCTTCCTTAAAAATATATTAAAGAGATGTCTACGATCCAATAGATCTATTAGTAACTATAAAAAAGAGACGTCATAGAGAGACGTCAAGGATTGACTACATAGACCTCAATAAAGAGATTATAGAGCTAACTACAGATGTCTTTTTGTCTTTAAATAGTCCTATAACCGACTATGGAGACCTCAACAATCACATACTAACAACAGATTTCCTATTGTCAATAATCACAGACTAATGTTGATCTAGAGTTAGTTCTGCGACCAACAAGTTATATATTACCATAGTAAGAGATTTAAGAGATTAACATGAAATAAGATGAACATGATATATGTAGATCTCACAATGTCAATGATCCGATAGATCCATTATTAACTCAAGAAAGGCCTAACATAACAGAGATGACAACAGATTTCCTATTATCTTTAGAATGACCTATAACTAACTATAGATACCGCAATAAAGACAGAAATGAACACGATCCCATAGATCAATTATTGGACCTTAGAAGGGCTTACAATTTGTGATATAGATCTCACAATATCAATGATCTGATAGATCCTTTATGAACTCCAGTAATGCCTAATATAACAGAGATGACAACAGATTTCCTCTTATCTTTAGAGAGATCTATAACTAACTATAGAGACCTCAATAATCTCAGACTAATGTTGATATAGAGTTAATTCTGCGACCAACAAGGTTTACATTAGACACTTAGTTCTAAAATAAAAGAGATTAAAGAGATGCCTACGGTCCTAGAGAACCATTAATAAAGGTCTTACAATTGGTCCAATAGATCTTTTTTTACTATAGAAAGGCTTAAGATTGACCGGAGGTATATCTAGGATAGTCTACATAGACCTTAAGAGGGATGACAGCAGATTCGCTATTACTCAAAAGATTCCAATGATCCAAAAGATCCACTTTAGCCTATAAAACCTCTACAAATGTCAATAAAAACTAATGTTAAAAACTAATGTTGAACTAGAGATAAGTCAACGTTTCCAACGATTTAAGTCGAATGTTGGACTAGAGTTACAACTATGATTGAATATAAAAAGACTTACGATTATCCGCAGATATCCCAGCTATTAAAGACTAATACTGAACTGAAGACAACGATCGACTATAGTAAGAGATTAAAGAGATGAAAATGATCCATTATTGAAAAGGACTACGTTTAACTATAGTATATAGACTCCATTATAGAATCCATTGATCTATTGTTGACTTTAGATAAGTCTACGATTGATCCATTAGATCTATTTATAAACTTACTTTATAAAGTCCTTTGAAATAAACAAGTCAACGATGGACTAAAGAAAGAGGTTGTAGATTAAAGTCTAATGTTGGACTATGTAGTGTAAAGTCTACGATTCTCAACGTTTCAAATATCTGACTGCGGAAACAAACTAAAGATCTTCAGTAAATATGAATTTGAGACTATGGTGGGACCTTCATATAATAGAAACATATTGGACCTTCAAAGAAAACACTTTTCTGAAGCAAAATTTTATAAAGAATACACTTTTCTTAAAGAAAACTTTCTACAAAAGATAATAAAGACTTTTTTCTATAGAAAATGTACTCTTTTTATAGAAAACTGAGTAAGAAGACATCTTTCTATAGAAAAATTACTTTTCTGTTCTCTCCAGAAAACACCTTTCTTTAGAAAAATCTAATTTCTATTAACTCTCTTAAAGGTGTTCTTTTCTAAAGTGTCTTTCTTAAGGAGATTGTTTTCTAAGGAAAACTGTCTTAGGAAAGTATTTTCTATAGAAAACTGTATTAATTAGAGTCTTATCTATAGGAAACTGTCTTAAGAAAACTCTTTTCTAAAGAAAACGTCCAGAAGAAGACACATTTTTTTAATGAAAACTGTCTGAAGACGACACTTTTCAATAGAAAATTGCTTAAGAAGATACTTTTCTCTTGAAAACTGTATTAAGCAGATATTTTACTATAGAAAATTGTTTAAAGAAGACACTTTTCTATAGAAAATTGTTTAAAGAAGACACCTTTATATAGAAAACTGCTTAAAGAAGGCACTTTTCTATAGAAAACTGTTTAAAGAAGACACTTTTCTATACAAAACTGCTTAAAGAAGACACTTTTCTATACAAAACTGCTTAAAGAACACATTTTTCTATAAAAGACTGTTTAAAGAAGACACTTTTCTATTGAAAACTGTTTAAAGAAAACTGTTTTCTATACAAAACTGTTTAAAAAAAGTCACTTTTCTATAGAAAATAGAAGACCAAAAACTGCTTATAGAAGATATTTTCTATAGAAAATTGTTTAAGGAAGACACTTTCCTACAGAAAACTGTTTAAAGAAAACACCATTCTTTAGAAAACTGTTTAAAGTAGACAGTTTTCTTTAGGAAACTGTTTAAAGAAGATGCATTTCTATAGAAGACTATTTAAAGAAGACAATTTTCTAAAGAAAGACATTTTTCTATAGAAGACTGTTTAAAGCAGACACTTTTCTATAGAAAATTATTTTAAGAAGACACTTTTAAATAGAAAATTGTTTAAAGAGAACACTTTTCTATAGAAGACTGTTTAAAGCAGACACTTTTCTATAGAAAAGTAATTAAAGAAGGCATCTTTCTATACAAAACTGTTCTATATAAAGCCTATTAAAAAAAAAATTCTTTTCTATAGAAAATTGTTTTAAGAAGGTACTTTTCTATAGAAAACTGACATAAGAATACACTTTTGTATAGAAAACTGTGTAGAGAAGACCCATTTCTATAGAAAACTATCATAGAAAGATTTTGTTCTAAAGAAAGTC